CCACCACCACAAAAATTATAAGATCAACAAAACCACCACCCCGCCACTACAGATACATACTTCATCACCACCACAAATCTTCGAATTTAAGGGTCACAGTTAAATAATCGGACATGGGTCAACTAACGGGTCACATACCATTACCACCTCCAATGTCTCCACCATCACTTGCGGCCATCTTCACACGGTGGCCGACAACGCCATCACCACACCACCAACAATCACTCCACTGCCACATCACAGCCGCCACCCTACCAACAAAATCCCCAACCACCACTACTCCGAACCACATCACAGCCGCCACCACCACCACCACTCCGAACCACAATTGCCACACACAGAACACACAACAAACACAGATCAATGCATATACACGACAAATCTCCTATCGTCACCACCGTAACCGCATAAACAAACATCACCAACACCCACATCGCTCCAACAATCACCGCACCACACCACCCAAATGAAATCAGATTGAAAAATTACCAAATTTGGTAATGAAAAGTAGTAATAATACGAGAAGCCCACGGAAATCGTGGCAAGAGCTCCAAATGAGATGCGAAAATTGGTGCTTCCGAATGCGATTGGTGCAGCCTTGCTCAGTCTTTTGAAAAAACATTGCCATTTTTTATATCTTTTTCAGTGAAATCAGTCTTCAGCGACGTTGTCGACGTGAAGAGAGAAGACGACTAGAGTAGTGAGAGACAGGGGATTGTTCCGGTGGTGACGCCGCTACGCCGCTGTTTCTATTGAGAGAGAGAGAGATGACTGAGAGACGAAGAGAGAGATGGAGAGAGAGGGGAGTGAGAGGCACTGTTCCGATCTGTGCAGTCGCCACCGGTGAGGAGCTGAGTGTGAGACGTAAAGAGAGAGAGACGTGATTTAGCCTTTAAGGTTTGAAATTTGGGTGGGGGGTGGGGTGTATATATATTAATTTTTATAATATTATTATTAATATTTAATTAAACTTAAAAAATCTGTATGTATATATAAAACATCTGATTTTTGAACATTAAAACTTGAAATCCGATTTTTGAATTTGAATCTTGAAATGTAGGGTTGACTGTAATTACCACTATTAATTACTACAAAACATGAGCCAATTACGGNTAGGGTTACCTGTAATTACCACTTGTTCCCCTCCCCCTCCCCCTCCCTCCCCCTTTTTGGGGTTTTGTTCAATAGAAGATATAGGGCAGGTTCCCAAATGTCATCCTACATCATCCAATAGTTATACCAACAAAGCATACATAATTGAAATTATTGCACCGTAATGAAAGCAAACTACAATTGTCATTGAACCAAGGACTTAAAACTTAAAATTTTAACAATGCATTTTATAAATGAAATCCACGTGCCAGTAGGAATGTCAAAATGGCTCGCCGGCTCGGACCTTTTGTGGCTCGGCCTGGAAAGCCCGAGCCAAGCCGGCTCGGATGAGCCCCATTTTGGGG